GGGTAAGAAAAAGGACGCAGAATGGAAGCGTGGAAATTTTCTTTGTCTGAGAAGTCCTAATTTCCAAATCACGAACAATTACTCAAACAAATACGTGCAAAACTATGGAATAGGGCTAAGTTGACAGTTGGGAGGATTTGCTTGAAAACAATGGAGCATTTCGACGTGGTAAAGGCTTCCCCCTACGCAAGAGACAAACCAACGGCAAGTAGAAGGCCATGAAATTGAAAACGACGCCTACTGTATGACCCAAGCCACCATTTGAGCAATCCACGTCCACATGTCCACATGGCCCTAGTATTTGGGGAAACTTAGCGTAGTTAAAATGCAGTTGTGAAAACCAACGTGTGTGAGAACTGCAGAGGTTAACTTTTTAAGTAGAAAAAGGCATGCACACACAAATGTGATGACTTTGAGAGTGGTGTCACTTCCATTTTTGTTTTTTTCCAGCAGTGTGATTCAAACTCATACGAATTTATCACTTGGAGTTGGCATTTTCGATTTCGAAAGAGACAGAAGTACTGAAGCTGCTTGATCAAACTTAGATTTTCAATTGAGCCTACAGTAGACTCTGAACATTCAGGATATGAGCTCTTATTCAACTCCCATGGGAGTAATACTTTTTGAATTTGGAATCCTGGTTGCGTCGAGATGAAAATAAGGGTTCAAATTTGTCATTCTGATCTTCGCCAACTTTTATCTAGGCAATTAGTAGTCGCAGTTCTCTATTAATTAAAAATTATTATTTTTTCGCTTTTTAAATGTACCAAAAATACCAAGCACTGTCCTAAGAACATTCGAGATCTCATAGTACTCCTTCAAATAAGCGCTCCATATGTATTTTGCTTTAAATAAACTTACCAAATTCTACTTTTCTGATCTGCAACAAAAAAATATGCCCATCTGTATTTTGCTGGAGATTGGCTTCGATAGTTCCTGGTGGCGTAGTGGATAGTTCTAATTACAAAGATATCTCCATTTTTCAAGTAAATTAAACCACCACCCCACGTCTATGGACTGGCTCAGCACCACAAAGAAGGCCATATATTCTTTTAAGGGAACTAGGAGGCGAGGTTTGAGAGTTCCAATATTGTTTATCCGACGCAGAGAACTTGTGGGAATGCTCTTAATCCCAGGAGGCCTAATTTAGTGTGTTTACACCATATACCCACAGAGGTGCACACGTCTAAGTGCACAATAAATATCCTTGGCTTCTTTTAATAACTCCCCTTCTAAATTCTTGATTTAACCAGTGAACGTGAGCTTTATTAAACCTTCACTTATTTCATTGACTGTACCTGGTTAAAATTAAATGAACAGAGAGGGAGAGAGGGAGGGGGGGAGAGGGAGGGAGAGAGAGAGAGAGTATAATTAAGGCTTTCAGTCGACCTACATTCACACCTGGCTAGTTCTCGTCTAATTCTCATAATCTAAAGGCAAAAATAATATTTAAGGCTGATTACCCATTGTCCTGAATGAGTCATATAAGAAGTTACTATGATCACTTTTTAAACATCGGCAACATGGCACTAGGGCGGGGGGGGGCGGGGAGGGTCAATTTCCAGGTAGAATAATTAATGGACATCACCACGAGCCTGCCAGAAAAACAGCCATCCTCATCATGCTCAAATTCCTTGAGTATCCTAGTTACCAAACCCTGTTCCAGTATTTAGACTTGTACAATTCTGTGCTCTAAACAAGTAACTAGGGCATCGATTTTTTGCCCCAGTTAGACCCAAAATAACATTCTCATTTCTCCAAAATATGAAGTTCACCAATAATTAAAATCGATAGGAGTCCATTAGACCACCCAGGTAAGATGGAGAAGGCAAAGCACTCTAGGGCTAGACAATACGTAGCGTGTGAAACAAGGATTCCACCACATAATGGTTGTAGTTGTGTCTACTAAACAATGAAAGACATCCTGTAGACACCTTGTGAAACTCTTAAATTTAAGTGAAAGACAAAGGGAGGGTGAGACACAGCCCATTATTGTGGGTGGGTGGGTGGTCGCGTCACGGAACCCAAGGTACGTGCTCTCCAAACCACAAGTCACGTTGGCGAAAAGAGGGGACACGACCAATCATAATGTGAGAATATTGAAGCTAAGTTAACAACGTTTAAAAACCTGGGGACCTTAAATACAAAGAGTAAAGTACATCGACTATACTTTTTTCCACCGTACTTCACCTCAACGCTCGTCAGCAGTTACCTCATTAACCGTAGAATTCGATAGTGGTATGGGTTAAGTGCGCTTGGGCAAAAAACGTGCAGAATCCAATTATCTTTGTCACGGCATTTTGCCCTTAAACGCTAATTATGAGGAGGTGGTCGGTGTCTCAGAGTTAACTTTTCCCTAAATTTCCAATTAGGCTGATAATTCCCTTGAGATCAAATTTTGTTTACTTTCGATGCCGATTTCTACAAAGCTTATCCTCCAACCCCTCCCCCCCCTTTCAACAAATGACACACTGAAAACTATCAATACATTTCTTTAAAATACTTCTTTTTGCTGATTCGACTAAATCAGACCATTGAATAATTCAATTCTTTGCGCAAAAGCTCTGGCTCACGTTTGAGAAATTCTTATTCCGTTGTCAGGGCTTTCAGCTCACTACAACATTTAAGTCTTATTATATCTTAGAGTCAGGGGTGTGCGATAGACTTACCTCCACGTGGTGCACACTGGGCAACGTATACTCATACGGCAAAAAAGTCTATTAACTGGCAGTTGACTTCTGATTTCAAGATACCATGACTCCACTGTATGTCATATTCGACCCCTTTCACAGTACTCACCTTACCTTTTTCTCTACCTTTGTGTCTGTCTGCCTCTTGCACCTGCGAATCGCTCTTCTGTTCCCCACCCCTCGACTTTCTGCTACTTTGATGAACCTTCCCTCTGTGAAGCCCGAAGTCAGCTAAATGGCTAATGATATCTATCAAAACGCCTGCCATTTGAAATAAATAAATAACTAAATATCTTAGAGTCATGAAGAAGATGACGAATTATGAAAACCATTAGTTTCACTTTAATTTGTAAAACATGGTGTTGTACGTGTCTCTTTAAGACACAAATACCGAATATCATGAATCGGCTCCCAGGATGGGTTATATGGACAGGGTTAAATCCAGCATACCAATGATCTATCGATTTAGTCCGGTTGTTGGTGAGGCCACTTCGATTTACTGGTATCGTATGGGAACCAAAGGTGATGATTCACTGTCTTATCCGATACAATTGACACCTTACCGACTAAATACTTACGTGTGGACTGGGAATTCGGTCTACAAACTCACATCTCTTCGCCTTAGGACCATCCTCATAATGGGAACGTAGATATAAGTATATAATATACTCAACTTGATTTAATCCATCATACAGCGTAAACTATACCTCATTTTTTTGAAGGTGAAAGCTATCCTTTTCCAATTGGTTATTTATGTGCGATCGACTTATTGATAGGCGATTCTCAGTTGAAAACTGAAGTCTACATATTCAAGATTTAAATAACACCTACTAAGGAGGGTTGAACCCCTAAGGTATGGGAAGACACTATGACGTTTCAAACAGAGCTCAAATCACGACATTAAATCATTAACCGAACATGGGAGAAGGAGGGGGGAGGTGGTGGTTGATGCGTATTGATGAGATCACGTCCATAAATTGCTGAATGGATTCCGTGCTGAACTCATACATTCTTAATGAGCACACAACACACACGCGTTTACTCTAAACCACAAAACTGCGCGGTCGCACTAGTCACGTAGGGAATATATGTGCGTAGCCTAATCTGACTCGGCAACTGTAGCAGACTCATTGCTCAAAAAGGCTCTTAGTCATCGTCATCGGTGTCTAGTCATTGAGAGGCCTTTGTTATCCAGCCCTCAGTCTTTAAGAGGTAACCGACACAATGACAGACGAGCTGGGGGACTGATAAAAAAGACAGTTAATGCTGGCGATTATTTTAGCCAAGAGTGAAGTCGAATCCCAAATTGAGTGAATTAGATACCGTTATTTCGATGATTTAAAGCCAATATATATACCACAATATGCAGCAGTTATAAACAGCTATATAACCAACTTAAGGTATGTTACAAGTATTATTACTGCGACTCCTTTCACATCCTCATAGTGATAGCAAATTTAATTTTAAGATGAATTATTTAGATCGAATTTAATAAGAAAATTGGCAATATTTATGGTTTATAATGGAGTGAGAATTAAAATTGATTGAGTATTTTTGCTTGCCAGGTGGTAATCTCGTTAAAGTGTCACTCCCAGACACAAGCTGACGGGCCCATTTGCGAGGCGACGGGTAAAATAAAGAACGCCATTACTGTCATTTTGATTAAAGAATAGTTTTGCCTTAAAAAATAGCACATAAACTAAACTCGAATTGGACAAAAGAATGCATGGCTTTCAAATCCTCTTTTTTGTTACATCGAATGGAGAGAAAAGAAGTCTGCCCGACTTTGCGTTTACCTATAATTAGTCAAAGGGGTGTACGATAGACTTACCTCCACGTGGTGCAACCTAGACAACGTATACTCAAAGGGAAAAAAGGCAATAAACAGGCAATTGACTCGAAACTACCATGTCCCCACTGTATGCCATATTCGACTAGAGGGCAAATGATAACTAACATTTATTTATTTATACCAAATGGCAGGCTTTATGTTAGTTATTATTAGCCCTTTAGTTGACTTCAGGCTTCACAGAGGGAGGCGAACTTTAAATCGAAAAAGTCGAGAGGGAAGGGAAACAGAAGAGTGTTTTAAAGATGTAAAAAAGACAGACACAGAGGTAGATGAAAGATGAGGTGAGTACTGTGCAAGTGGTCGAATATGACATACAGTGGGGGTGATGGTAGTTTGAACATAGGTCAACTGCCGATTAATAGACTTTTTTGCCGTATGAGTATGGGTTGCCCAGGGTGCACCGCGTGGAGGTAAGTCTATCGCAACAACTGCCGGTTAATAGACTTTTTTGCCGTATGAGTATACGGTGCCCAGGGTGCACCACGTGGAGGTAAGTCTAAATATACATTGCCCAGGGTGCACCACGGAGGTAAGTCTATTGCACACCCCATGATACCTATCATAACGCCTGCCATTTGAAAGTACGTTGTCCAGGGTGCACCACGTGGAGGTAAGTCTATCGTATTCTTAAGAATAATTGTTTAGAAAACCAGCAAGGGTTGAGCAACCCATGATAACTAAAATGAGGTCTGGTATTTGATATAAATAATGGTTTATAGCACTTTAACAGCCTTATAGTTTAAGTCTGAAGGTCATATTCATTGGAACTTATTCTCCTCCATTCATTAGCATTAGCAATATGTTCGTTAGACTTGGTTCTTCCTTTGTAAGTTTGTTAATAAATTGATCTCTTAAAGTGCATTCAACCAAGCCTATAAAATTGCAGCTTTAATGACAATTAGATGATCTATTTGGCTATTTTTTGTACCCAAAAAATTGTCAATTTTGAGGAGGAATGATGTCTTATAAGCGATAAAACAGATTTAAGACTGATTCAAGAGGCATTCGAAAGGTAAAAAAAGGTAATTCAAGTAATAAGAATGGTCAGATTCATAGACTAATAGCAGAGATGACCAATTTCGAGTTTCTTAATCATCTTCCTTCAGTCCATGAAGTGTATTTAATCTATAATTTTAATTAATTCCAGGTAAAGCTGGTAAATTCCGTTTTAGTGATCCCAAAATTTTTAATAACACGCGAGAATGTTCGCCTAAATTCTATTTTCTAACACATTTCGACCATTTTTCCATCTGCTCTATGAAGACTTACCGATATTTTGAGTCCTAGACTTTATTATTACCTAGAAAGTACCAAGTACTCACCAATTGGTTGCGAAGGAATCCTGGAAGACGATGGACAGCTATTTGCGATGGTTCAAGTCCATCGTAATAAATACGGTGAAGGTTTAATGAACCGAAAAGACATTCTCCTCTTAAAGTAACAAGGCGAATCTTCAAACGACGTAAAGTGCCTGATCGATTGATGCAGTAGTAAATACGAAATTGTGGGCGTTTGAGTAATTAAATTACTCATCATAATTCTTTTATAACTATTGTCTCCAGCCTAGCATAAGCGTGATACAAACGTTGCCCAAGGTCATTTCCCTCTTGGTTAACTTATTGATTCAGGATAGATTTGAACGTTATTTGTCACGCTAATCCCACGTGAAAACCTTGCTTTATTACCTGGAATTGAGGAATGGCCACAATTGAGTCACTTATTACTAAACTAAAGAATTTAGTTACTTGCAGAATTTGCTCAGGAATGTAAGTAATTTAGGGTAAAAATAACAACAAATTAAAATTATTTATTTATTTATAACAAATGGCAGGCGTTTTGATAGTTATCATTAGCCCTTTAGTTGACTTCGGGCTTCACATCACAGAGGGATGGAGGAGCATCAAATTGAGAAGAATTCAGGAGGGGGAATAGAAGGGTGTTTCAAAGTTGTAAAAGAAACAGGCACAAAGGATCAGAAAGGGTAAGATGGGTAGTGGTAGGGGTCGAATATGACATACAGTGGGGGTGATGGTTGTTTGAAGTGAGAACTCAACTGCCGATTAATAGACTTTTTTGCCGCATGAGTATACGTTGCCCAGGGTGCACCACGTGGAGGTAAGTCTATCACACACCCCCACTTAAAATTATTCAATATGCAATATTTAATCTTAAATTAATATTTGCCATGCAGCTTCATCTCCCCCGTGGTCCTTAACTGTGGCCATGTGTTCTGTTTCCGATGCATTTATCCTATATTTGTGAAGGGAATATTTGTAAACTGCGCCACATGTGGAAGAGAGAATTTGTTGTTTGAGATTAAGTTATGCCGGAAAACGCTAGAGGTTATGGAGTTGATCCGCAAATACTCGCCTTCGACACTTCCCAATATAAATCGTGGGATGACAGATGATGACTTTGACAAAGTTCAAGAGCATTATTTAGCCGCTCCTATGGCTGCTTCAAGGTATGCATTTCACAAGAACAGCGAGAGGTGCACTTTCCCATATAAATGGGTATGTTTTTTGTTGGCATTTTGCCGAAAAAAGCATTAGCATGGCCTAAACTTTTTCATCTATCGCATTTCAGATGACCTGTTTTGCCAAAAAAATAGCCGAATGCGGATATCCAACTTTCATATATGACAAGGTGAAGAAATTACTTGAACCGGTGATTGCATATGAGGAAAAGGCATCTAGGATTTCTGAACGATGTAAAAAATGGCCCCACTGCCCAGAAGTGACATGTGATTACGTCCATCCCAACAATCCATGCCAACATGGGGATGCTTGCCAAAATAGAGATACGTGCCTATTTCTTCATGGTGAAGACTATCTCCACATGTACGTTGTCGCGAGA